ATTTACATGAAAGCTTCCACCTCAAATGACGGCACTCCCCAGTCGGGTGACTTTCCCAAGCATGCAGGCAATCAATGAGGGCTAAATGCATGCTCTTCATACCCCGCGGGAGCTGTTAGAGCGCAGCTTGCAGCTGTCCGTCAGGGGAGGAAATTACAGCCCTGTGACACACTGACCACTTTCCTGCTTTCGGGAGGACAGAGCTCTGAGCTGTCAGGCAAGGGAAGTGGGGCGCATCTAGCTGGTGCTCACACAGGCTCACCATCTCCATAGCCATCCCAGAGCCTCTGAGTTTGGGTGGGCAGGGGAATGGAGAGGAGCAAGAACATTGACCCTGAGCTTGCAGAGAAGAGGAGGATGGAATTTTCTAGAAGAGTACAGGTCACTTCTCTGGCAATTTACCTGCTCCCATCCTTGGGGTGGTGGCAACGTGCCTAGTGACATGTCCTATCCTAACCTTGGGTTCTCAGATGTCTTCTTATGGGATATTTCAGCTCTTCATGGTTTAGAAGGAAATCTCTTAACATACTTCTTCATGTCCAAATGGGCACCCAACTCACTTGCTAGCAGTCTGTTCTAAGGAGGGAAGTTGGCAGACTACCTCTCATCCCCCCACAGAGAAGAAGGATTGTTAGTAATCAACAACAAATGTGTGTTTATACAATGAATGGCTGCAGGAACACAGCCTGTTTAGGATTAATTACACAGAGCTATACTAGCCATTTTTAAACATTTGAAGACAGTGATAATAGACTTTTCTGAGTTTTTCAGAGGTCATTCTTGAGGTTTAATATAAGAAAGAGCTTTCTAACCTTCTAACTGTGCAGTGACAACTTATCACAGAAACCATCAGCCAATGAGCAATAGGAGGCTTAGTCTGAGTGCATGGAGGGATTTTTGCACTAGCAGGGTGGGAGGCTGTGCGTGGAGCCCAAAGGTCCCTTTGAACTCTAAGATTTACGAACTTTAACTAAAGGAGGTGACTCTTGTGAGGCTCCAGAGGACAGGGTGTCAGGTTGAGGGGCATCTCCCAGGACTATGGAAGTTTGTCGGTATGGATTCATTTGCTTTAGCCTCTGTGAAACTCTAAGCCTGAGATATTCTGCTATTAGTGCTGGCGATCTGCCCCAATGAACATGCCAAGTAAACCACCAGGAGGCTGGCCACGTGCACACACACTGTGCTGAGTGAGTTTGGTGGGGTGGAGTAAAGTCCAGAGAAATGGGGAAGGGTGGCAGGACAAGCTAACTCTACCGACCCCACTGTATTACTGGCAACATCACGACAAGAGCCAGAAAGGAACTATTCAGGACCACTCTGTGTGGCAGAGAGGGCTTGGATCTGCAATGGACCCATAACTTGAGATGGAGAGGGAAGAAAACACACAAACCTCTTCATATCAAAGGAGAGGAAATTACCCAGACTACTGGGATATTCTAATCAGAGCCTTCTTATCAGAGTGTCTCCAGTCTAACAAGGAGAAATCCAATCTGCAGCGGACTGAACGCTAAATTAGATCTAATCAGTACCCGCTTTCCAACTGCTTGACAGCAGGTCAAACACCAATGATGGGGACCCA